CAACATAAAAAATTCAATTATCATATTTTCAACTACCTTTTATTATTAATTATTGGACTTTTGACATGCCGATAAACAGTTACTTTCAAAAATGATTAATTTATTATGTTTATTTATTTACTATGTTAATATTCACGACCAAAATTTTTGCATGTTGCACCAGGTAATACTAGTAAGTTTGTTTAAATATTATAAAATTGTTTAAACAATAATTATTTAAATAAACAACTGAAAATTGGTATTAATTTTTAGTTATACGATAAATTTCTAAAAATCTTAAAAAAAAAATAAATTGTGAATAATTATAATTTTAATTTTTTCGTTTACTTAACTATTAATTTCAATTTTTATTTACATTTAATCTAATCTAATTCTTTTACTAGTTGGTGATTTTCCAAATGCCTCATCAGTATTATCACAATCTATTTCGTCGTCGATTTACTCGTCCTGCGACTGCAAAATATCATTTTCTAACGACTCTGAAATCTGATTGTCGAGTTCACTTGCACTTTCTTCTGAAATGTCTTCTTCAAAATCGATTTCGAACTCGTCTACTTCCACTATTTTGTAGGCATTTTTACACATTTGCCCTTGGCAATGGGTGCAATACTCAGAGCATTTTTGAACTCGAGAATTCAGATCGGAGTAGCTGTGTGTTTGCTCCCCCTCACTGATATTTCACTAATTTCACGCGGTCTTGAATATCTTTGAGTGACATTTTAAATGGGACGCCCGTGATTGCAAATTTTGAAAATTTATATCTGGAAAGTACTCGGAATGGCAAACCGATTAGTTCAAAAAACAGCCCTTATACTCTTATAGTTTTAGTGTAAATAAGGGTTAACTTTAACGGACTATAACTCCGAAAATAATGGGCGGATCATCAGGTTTTTTTTAAATACTCGTCTTTCCGAGTACTTTCAAACCATATTTTAAAATAAATAAAAAATTGAAAAAAACATTAAATTATTGCAATTGTTTATAAGCGTGAAAATTGTGACAATGTTTAAACAGTCACCACGGTTCACCTAATCGTCCGATTTGAATTTTTCAAAAATCATTTTAATGCTTGACAGCTCTTCTTTCTGTGGTGAAATTTTCAAGTATTCAAATGTTTTAGATTTTTAGAAATTTGATTTTGAAAATTATTTAATTTAAAAAATATAAAAAATTTAAACAATTATTATGTAAAAACTATCAAACCGAATCGGATGAATTTTGGTGTGATGATTCTATGCACTAAGAAGTTTAATTGGGAAAAGTATGAAGATCCTAGGTATTATTCAAGTCTCTGAAATAAATTGACAAATTAACTAACATTTTTTGCAATTTTTTAAATGATTTTCCGATTTTTGCAATAACAATAATTATTTTTTCGAATTGCAACTAACTCTATCTTGATCAAAATTTAATTAAAAATCCATTTTTCCATTTTTGTCAAAAATGAATAGTTGCTAAGTTGTCGCCGAGAAATCTAAGAAAAAAATGAATTTTTTTGCTATTTTTTTTATACTTTTTTGCATTAAAAATTAAGCCCACGTTTTTTTTTATTTGCATAGAAAAATTATCATTTCTGATGTTGTTTAGAAGCCGTTAAAGCAAAAATCTCCGATCATATGCGTTTTACCCAAGCATACCCATTTTAAAACAGATACCGCCTGGTCTAAATGGATGCATTGAACCTAAGAGCAACGAACTGAACTCTGAAACCCTTTATAAATTGAGAATTAGACCTAAATATCGAGCTTAAATATATTTGCTTAAAATCATGAAGACCTTCGATTAGTCGTGCTGCTTTCCTTTGTTTTATCAAGGAACATCGAATAAAATATTTTATCGTATATAATTACACGTTCCGATTTAGCAAAATATTTTTAATCGCAAGCGAAGAACACGCACTACTGAGGTCAAGCAAACTAATAATTATCAACACCATATTTTAAGCGACCTTTAAAAATATTCTGCAGTCAAGTGTTGCCTTATTGGGAGCCTTAAAATATACAAGCGATAAATGAACGAATGCTGCATAACATGAATCATAACAAGTCCTTGATTAAATATAGAAAACACGAAATGCCTTAATAAGTTATATTTTTCCTTTTCTGTCCATTCTCATTCAGAGCTAAATAAAAGAAATGATTAAATCTCGAATCAAAGCCGTGGGAACGACTGGGACCACCCTAATAAACCCAGGGTCCCAGACCAGGCAGGTAAAAAAACCAAGTAGGAGCTATTGATATATCTTAAACATTCAATCATTCAACTAAACATGTATGCGTAATGGTCTTTTTTGAAAAATATTAAGAATACATTTTGAATTTTGAAATTAATATATTTATTTATTTTTTTAATAAGTTGCATAACAATAGTCAACTACAACTACACTTAACCTCGCACTTAACCTAAAAGCATAGCAGGAGAAAAAAATTCAAATAAACTATAAGAAAACTTATTTACTGAAAATATTTGTGGCTTTTGTTTAATTAAACTGAAATATCGTTATCTAATGAGACTTTAGTTCACTGGTTAAATTGTTACATTATATTCTTAAACCTAAACAACTTGGCGCTTTAGCTGTAAAAGAATATTTTACAAAAGGAATTCGAATGTTATTACATTGTCTGCACATTTTTATTTAAAATTAAACACTGCTTATTTTTATAAACGAGACATTTCAAAAATAAACCGATATTAAAGTGCATAAGGGCATTACATTTCTTGAATTTATCTCTCTATATACATATACAGGGTCGGAAAGTACCGATGGACCATCTGCCGTTACGTGAGAGCGATAAAGTAAGTAATAGAAATCCGTGCGATAGAGAAATATGGCTATAATGAAGGCGTCTAATAGTCACCGCCCACTTCGCCCTTCCACAAATAAGAAATGGATCTTATTTGTGGAAGGGCGAAACGGGCGGTGACTATGAGACGCCTTCATTATAGCCATCCTTCTCTATCGCATGGATTTATATGTCTTACTTTATCGCTCTCACGTAACGGCAGATGGACCATCGGTACTTTCCGAACCTTTATGTACGATAACTAGGTTTATCGTCAATCACTCTTAAAATACGCTTTTGTACAACAAAAACTGAACGAGAAAAGCTAAAGTCCCCAAATCATGTTCCATAACGAAATCTAGACTCAACATATATGCATAATATAAATTTAACAATTATTTTCCATGCAAGATTTCTTTCATACATTTGATTAAGTAACTAACTTAATATAGAAACAAGATTATTGCAATGCTTTTTCCAGTTTAGTGTATCATCAAGGTGATTCCCGAGAATTAGACAGTCTGTTTCACCACTGGTTATATGTAGTGTTGTTATTTATATAAAAAAGTTTGGTTTTACCTGTATTAAAATATAAATTATTGTAATTAAACCACTTCGACATTGAGTAAAGTATATTTTCTAAATTAATTTTCAATGTATACCTACACTTATACATGTTGAGATTGCCGCTATAACTTGGCCAGAACAAGTTCAGGCATCAATACCATTGAACATAATATCTAGAATATGCGTAGTACACAATTAAAGCTGCATTCACATAGGATTAGTGCGGTTGTATTGGTACTGTAGAAAAGTTTTTAACATGCATTGCAATAGGGACTTCACAGTAACGTCGTTGTACTGCAGTTGGAACGGCAGAAGCTAGAAGCGTTTTAGCTTTTACCAATCCTTGCCATACAAGGACCAATCAGATAACAGCTTTTTTGACAGAACACCACGAAACATACAATGCAGTAGATAATACTAATTTTATGTAATGAGAGTAGATAATACAAGTACAATGCAATAATACAACTGCAGTGCCATTGCACTAAGGTTTTCTGAACGTTACTTAAGGAATCATCGAAATCAGCCTAATAACTTAGGGGACACTAGGTATCTCCTTCTTCAAATATGAGATGAACTGAATCCAGACAACATTCGAATGATAAAATACATATTTTTTTAAAAAGAAACCAATTATCTCTGCCACCCGTATAAGTATGCTACTTTACCATTCTAACATAACAGCTAGCTTTTTTCGTCATGATAATAAAATTAGGTAGGCTTATTTTTTGTTATAAAAAATTGTATATTTGATAGATACTTTATTTTTAAAATAAAAATAAATAAAACCCAAAAGATTTGTTATCTATGGATATATTTTAACTAAATTCATATTAAATATAACTAAAAACAAAGCAAAAGTTGAACTATGCAAAAATAAGATATCAAGCTATTGATTACATACCTACCTATGCGTTAAAGAAATACAAAAGTAGTAATTCAAAATCTAATTGAAAATTATAGGTACTTAGTACTTATACGTAATGTTTTTGGACAAGAGCAGGTTGTGGTTGCTAATATAATATAATTATTTCTAAGAAAAACCTTAAATGTTGGAAACACTATTTTCTTCAGGTTTACTGTTGACTTTCTATTTATTTTAGGTAGGTATCGTTATTTTTCCTTTTTAAACTATGAAATAAAAATTTATCTTGCAGTCACTTTTTTTAACTGATGGTAATACATATTATTCACTTTTATTTTTCATTTTGGATACTTGATTACTTGCTTAATTTATTATAATTATAAGGATGCTTTTATAATATTTACAACACCAAATGTCGTAACTAGAAGTCACGATTCAACTTACAGGTATAATGGCAAAGGTGAATCGATAGAAAAACCTCAAGTGAGTAAATAATATGTGTGTGTGTGCGTGTGCATTTTTAATGCAAATATAATATTTTAATTAAATAGCTAATTAGAATAATAAGTATTATCAAAACAGACATTTTACTTTTTGTGTAGATAAATACCACTGAAATACCTGCAACCTGCAATAGCTGATTACTTCGAAATATCTCAATGGTTTATTAACAGTTATTTTCCATTACCTAATAATATACCTACTGAAATAAAAAAGAAAATAAATGTACGTATAGACTAGGCAAATCGTGTAATGGCTACATTAAAAATCGGATAAATATTTACCTTCAACACTATCAACAGAAATCTAAACCTTGTCAGGTAATCCTAAATAAGCTCTGTAGCGGAGGTTGAAATATCGATTTTCGTCAAATGAAGGCCCTCTGAACCTCTGCACTAATTTTTGTAACTAGTAACAATACTAATCGAACTCTGTTTATGGGGGATAAACAAGAAATACTGACAAACTACTTTTGACACGTGTTTATTGATAACGGTTACGTACGTACGATACACTCTACACGCTGTTTCAAACTAAACTGAATGTTGGTGAGTTGCTTTGTGAACAACGAAGCAGACCAAGGTAGAGTGAGTCAGAAGCAGTCACGCCAGGCCAGAGAAGCGAAAACCAGACTTGTATGTAGGTATACGTTGAATGTTGAGTGTCGAGTCTGCCCAGAACTCTGAGAGCAAAGGGGAACTTAGTTGCATGTTATATTCATGACCCAACGATGCAGATAACTACATATAAATTTGTAGAATTATGAAATACGACAAAAACAAAAGTCACAAGTTATTTTTGGCGCAACAAACACGAAAGAAATCAAAGTAATGTTGGAAGGATAGCTTAGAAAAAAGAACTTATCGACTTATCTTTAGGTTTGTTTGGGTTCAGACCAGACCTAGAACGGTTCTAGGGCGCACAGTGGGAAATACCTATGGAAAAAATTCTACGCACGCGGCTATTTTAACAGTACAGTGTCACTGTAGAAGATTAAAAAAGAAATTCCCACTGTGGGAATTTCTTTTTTAATCTTCTTAAAAAATATGCTTAGTTTTATTGTCTTGGTGCGATAATTTGATATATTTATATAGGAATATTTTAAATCGCGTGAGAACCCATCAGCCTCAACCCCAAAGATAATAATTCGGTATTTAAAAAATTTCGTATCTGACGTTGAACGAATATAATCATGTAGCTTCACAATACTGTTCAAACTGACCTGAACCCAAAAACATAACCTCAAACTTGAAAACTATATTTTTGATCTTATATTCCTAACTCTAAAGCTACAAACCTACTTCCATGAAAACCTAACCTCAAACCCTTCAAAACCTAATCCCAAACCCTCAAAACTTTAAATTCTAAAAACTTGAGCTAGAAATTCATAGAATGTGTATGTTCTACACTAAAAAATAAAAGTCCTTGAAAACTATTTCCTGGAACTTATATTTTTTATTTTTGAAATCCCTAACCTCTATTCATAAATATCTAACATGAAATCCAAAAAATCTGAGCTAGAAAGTCAAACAAAGGAAATATTTCAAACCAAAGAATGTGACTCCTTGAAAACTCTATTCTGGAGCTAATATTTTGTATCTCTGAAGTTTCAAACCTGTGTCCATAAAAACCTAACCTCAAACCCTTGTAACTTATTCTCAAATCCACAAAAAAGTAATATATTAATAATAATATTTAGATAGGTAGATTAAATTTCATTCGAAATATTATAAAAATTTTAACAATTTCAGCTAAAAACTTGTCGATATAATTCAATGCCGGTCGGGGTATTGGTCCGCAGAGTAGTTGTTTGCCATAATACAATTTGTTATAACTTTGTTTCCCCTAGCGAGGCCCTAATTTATTATTTATTTATTTATTTATTTATTTATTTATTTATTACAATAAAATATCCAACGGGACAAAAGCCCAATTACAGGATAAGTAAAACTATGATAAAAAACACAAAACAAAAAGATAAATAACTACATTAAAAAAGAAAAGAAAAACACACAATTAAGACTCGACACCTATATGACAAAAGTGTAAATCATACAAACTTAAAAAGGAATAGGTCAAACGCAAGAAGCAAGAAAAGCTACAAAAAATAGCGCTTCACATCAGCAAGTATGCATGAAAATATGTCCAAAACATTTTCAACGGCACGATAATTATATATCATTTGATACAATGGAGATTTTAACAAAACATTGGTACGGGCTTGAGGTATAAGGAATGCATTGCTAAATCGATTGTTAAGCCTAGGCACCCTAAAATTCAAATACGCCAGCAAAGCATCGAAAACAACTAAATAATGTACAATCTTAAAGAGAAGCCGTACACAACACATTTGACGCCTCGAAATTAGGCTTTGCAATTCGAAACGGTTATAAAATATAGCCTGTTGTGTTCCTCGCGCAGGATAAACACCGTCCAATATAAATGCTGCCGACTTGAAAAATCTTCTTTGAACCATTTCCATAGCGGAAATCTGAAATTCATAGATCGGACTCCATATGACAGAGCCATATTCAAGTTTAGATCTAATGAAAGTTATATACAATAATCTAAGCGATGTAGACTCCCTTGCATTGCGCAGAATAAACCCCAAATTCTTATAGGCCCGAGATAAGCAGTCCTCCATATGACGCGCAAACCTAAGTTTTGAATCAAAAATAATTCCCAGATCCTTTACAAAATCAGGCCTCTCGAGCACACAATCGTCAAGCATGTAATTAAATAAAATTGAATTTAATAAGCGATAAAAAGACATTGTTATTACACCAATTGCTGAAGGTCAAAAGATTGTTTTGCAGATCGTCACAATCATTAGGGCTGTCAATTCTACGGTATAATTTGACGTCATCAGCATACAGAAGGTAATGCACATTTAGATCTTCAACAATGTCATTAATGAACAACACAAATAAAAGAGAGCCCAATATCGAACCCTGAGGAACACCAGACGTCTGAGAGAACTTGTTCGATCTGAAACCTCGAAATTGGACAAACTGATACCGATCAGATAAATATGATCTAAATCTAGCTTTCGGGCTCTAGACAATTCAAAACTCTCATTATATTCCTTACACTTATACAGTGTCACCATACCCGGATGGAGTACTCCACTCCTGTAAACTTTTTTGTTGTTGATTTTTTGAGAAAAGCTTATTTTTGATAAAATATCTTGAGTATCCTGAGTAAGCCGTGAGAATAATAATATGTAAAATAGGTAACGTTACAAAAATTATAGAATTTAAAATTTTTCTTAAGCAGTTTTTATTTCTTGTTTTTGTTGAAAATTTTAACAAAGTTGTTTCAAAACTCTAGAAATACGGTGTTTAGTCAAGAAAAAATAACAATCACATTTCACAAATAAATTGACGCCGATTATAAAATTACTTTATTCAGACAAAAATTATAAAAAATAATTCAACTTTTCTTTCAAATTTAGTGAAAATTAGGATATATTATGATATTCTTAAAGCACATCAAGCATTAAAAAATAAAAAGGGGATAATACAGTAAAGCTAAAACTATTCAATAAATTTTTAAAAATTTGTTAAAGTTAAATTAACTTAAATATTACCGTGGATATTTTCTTATTTTATTGATTATATTATATTGTTGAAGTGATAATAAAAAAAATTAAACCAATGCCGTACAAATATACAAGGTGATTAAAAATAACAAATTTCCGTAGCATTTGATACATAATACATTTTATAACAGCCAAGCTATAAGGTCAATAAAAATCGTTCAAATTCGAAACAATTCTCTATATACCTAAAACCAATAAAGTTAGCCAGATTTATTTTCTATTTATCACTGTTTAGCCAGTACTCTGCAACTCCACACAAAATGGGCCACCCTACACTTATACGGAGGTATTAAAAGCTACTATTTATAAAACTGTTTTTTTTAACCAAATTCATACCTGATTGTTGCAGCACTGTTTTTATTCAGTTGGGAAAATGTTAAATTAATAAAAATTGTGTTTTTGAGAATTTGATCAAACAGAATTAGCTGTCCAATTAATTAAACAACTTTTTAAAGAGAAATACTAATTATAAGATATCAAAAAATGCATTAGTTTTTATATTTTTCATGTACATTTCAGTCGATGATCGACAATTTTCCGCTGGTAGTGTCGAACACATTTCTATTTTTTTTAATATGTTCTCATAAAATCTTTTATGTTTTAACATTTCGACAAAATAAGCTAGGGGCCTTATTTTGTTTAAAATTTAAATTTTGAACATTATTTTCTGTATTATGTCTGAGGATGGTTTATAATTATAATTTATATTTATTGTGAATTAGTTTTTGACTATTAAAATTATTTTGTGGAAAAATAAACTAACATATGTAGCTAACAAATTAAAAATTTTTAGGTATACTATATAGAACTCAAATACTCTTAAGGTATTATTTATGAACTGTTAACAGTTACTTAAATATTAATTTTAAAATTTACTTCCATAAAAACAATATTTAGTGAAAATATAAAAAACCTTGCCTTTCTAAGTAGATCACTAAAGAAATAGTTTTAAGATTAAAAGATTTTTTTGATAAATATCATATTACAAAAATAATTTCACGCTGTGTATGATTTGCATTCTAATTATTAGAATAGCGGTAAATACCTAATCTCAATTTTCAATAAGAAATACAGTTACTGAAGTGTATACCTACAGTGCTAAATAATATCAATATCGAGAGAATTGTGTAAAAACTTTAATGTGTGGCAGACAAATTTCAAGGCACAATAAATGTAATTCAATATGTGTTCATGAGGAATCTCATTATTGTATTTATCTTTATCACTTATCGCCAAATTTACACATTCAACTTAACAAAAAATTATAATAATAATCTGAAATCATTATATTACTGGATATTAATTAATTATTACATGAGAGCTAACGCTGTGCCCCTGCGATTGGTCGAGGAGAAGACAACAATTTCACGCATCTTTCCAAAAATTACCCGCCAAGCCATCCGGATGAAAATATTGCCTCAATTCCTCAGACAACGCTGCTTGATCTCTCCCCGCGGCCGCTGATAGGCGCACGGAGCGCCAAAATGTACCCGACTTTTCCAAAAAATTACAAAAATAAACTAAATTCTGTCTAAAATTAGCAAATCGAGCACAACGCTCATAAATCCAGCTCTCATGCTGCTATTCAGACAAACATTCTAAATCATAAGCTATCTGGAAATCCCCTCATCGGCGAGCGGGCGACTAACATCCCAGCACTCCAGGTGAAAATGTAATCAGATCCAAATACTCCATTCGATCCCATTATGAGGGTCTACGATCCTTTAAACATGCTAAGGGGAAATGATGGTAGGTCAACTCCACTGCAAGTTAGTCAAATCAAATCAAAATCCACCAACAAATGAATTACCTACCAAAACCTACAACATTACCTTCTATGATTGTGATACTATTTAGTGGCGCATTGTAATGTTAAACTGCTAGTACTTAGGTATTTTAAAGGCTGTATTTTACATAATAAATAAATATATAAATAAATAAATAATTGTATTATCCCACTAAGGGAGTGT